TAAGTACTTTTCATTCCTTCTTATTAATTTCATGTATCCTTCTTTGAACTACACTACTCTCATCTTTACCTTCCTTTTAATGTGAATGACTGATCATGACTACCTGCTTTTAAATTTCTTGTTTAAAAGCAGCTGGTCTTTTAAACAAGTTTTTTTTTTTTTTTTGTTACCTTTCTGTCCTTCATCTTGGATAGTACTAAAAGTTCATCTCAGAGCTTTTCGGCAGACAGGTGTTGTAAGCAATATGGAAGGTGTCTTTTAACTTTTTTCTTCAGTCATATGCTGCAGGGACTTCAGGTTTTACAGGAACTCATTCATTCCACCATCAAACCAAAAAGGTGGTGTTTCTGTATTTTCTTGCTTTCAAAATTGATCTTATTTTAGGGAACCAGTAATTTTCCCTGACATACAACATCTTGGGGCTGGACTCGATGATCTTCGCAGGTCCCTTCCAGCCCTAATGTCTTTGAAATCTATGAAGTCTATTTTCATAATCTCCACGCTAGTAAAAAACGTGTCTGAAGAGGCAAACATTTTTGTGGGTGATATCTTTCATTGGACCGTCACCATAGTTAAGATAGACACGTTTTCAAATGTAATGCATGTTTCTTCATGACCTCATGTTTCCTGGACCATCATGACTACAACATCACTCAACACTTCCAAAAACATCTGAAGATATATACGGTATTTTTTTTTTCTGGGTTGGTGGGGTCCAGGAGGGTTTGGTGGGCTCAGGGGGACAAATGGCTTCTATGGGTGGGGATTGGGGAACTAGCAAAATCTGCAGGGGGGGCATTGTGGCATTGGTGGGGTCTGGGAGGGTTTGGTGTGATTGGGAGTCTTGGGGAGGTAAGGGGTAGCTAGTGGGGTCCACAGGGGGAATGTAGGGGTTCTCCACCCCCCGGACCAGGGGCTATTTTGTAGCCCCCACCCCAACCCTGCAGTATATTTTTTTTAGTGATACATACTTCTGACTTTATGTAAAAAGCACCACAAATACAAACCTTATCTTTACATTTTTAAAGTATTTGAATCCTACACAACATCAGCAGACTAACACTACAATTTAGGTGGAAATTTTGGCCTCTATTTTAGGCTTCATACCTAATTGAGGATTCTTTTTTGAGTGTGTGTTAGTATACATCCTACTCTAATCAAGCATGTGTTCCAGCTGGAAAACGTTCGGAATAATAGCGTCCATGTTCAGTGGCAGTTACCCCTCCCCCCATCAGTTCCCTTTTTACTAGTTGTGACAACAAGATGGAGTGTGGACAATGTCAACTACTTCAGTGCTTATCAACCTTTTGAAGAACTATCTTCCTCTAATTCTTCCATTTAACAGGACATTTGAAAACAAACAAAGAAAGGAAGAAAGAAAAAAATAGCCCTCCATTTTCATTGTCTGTGAGTTCCTTGCTACTGCCATCATTGTAAGTCCAGATTTGCAAGATTTAAATCATGCCTGAAGTGGGATAGCTTTATATACCTGATCATTGGGTAGATCAGCTAGCTCTTAAGCCTTGAGGAATGACATTCATAGCAAAAACTTAATCTGCCACCCTTCACCCTGTATCTCAAAATCCAGGGGCATAAGACTCCAATTAAATTTACTAAAGCAATTTTTAAAAACTTGTGATGATAAGCAGTTAGTATAGTCAGAGTTTGAACAGAGAGACTGATATATAAAAAAGACATCATCCTTGGCACTGGCACCAGCAGAAGAATATTTGCCACTAAATGCCTTGGCACTGGTAGTTTTAGTATCAACTCTAGGGTGGACTGTGCTAGAAGTTTTCTACCTCAGAGGTAGACTTGCGCTGTTGTAAGTTCCACAAGATCATTTTACGTAAAGGACTTGAAACAATACCTCAGAGACAATGTCTCAATCCACATCAGCATTGAGGACTGAGGGACAAACTGTAAGTTCCAAAGAAGATCTCAGATACTGAAATATATCCTGGTACAGAGAGATCATATTTTCCTGATCAATATCTTTTATTACTTTGGCACCAGGACTGGGATTGGTACAGGTCTATATATCATTTCGGCTATTGCTTGTTGCCATTCTCTCCCGGATCCTTCTGTTCTGTACAAATTTGGGAGCTTTGTCTGCTCGCAGTTCATCAAGAAACATGAGAGAGTTTAGACAAACTGGTGCGTGATGCTTTTTGATGTGGGAGAGGATAACTTCCTCGCTATGTGAGCTTCCACAGGACTATAGAGTAGTTAAGGAGACTGTCAGAGGGCCTAACTATTACCAAGATTGTACTGTAGGTGACTCAGATGTTTCAGATATGGCCATAAGCTATAGCAAGTACAGCTTGCTTCTTGATTTGCAGGGATCTTGTGTTTTGGAGGAACTGAAAGCAATGGAGCTTTCTTGCAATGAGAGAAATGAACTCTCCAATTCCCTGAAGGATTACAGGGCAATGCTGAGGCCACTAGGGGCTGCAGTCCAGTCCCATACATAAGCATTACATGTACTGTTCATAGCTGCTAACCAAAATACCTGCCCAGATAACATACTTCCCCCCTCAAAAAACAAAACAAAACAAAAAACAACCAACCAACCAAACAACTTCTAGAAATTGTGGTGTGCATAATAAGGAAGGAAATACAGTAACAGCAGTTTCTGCTGCTTAACTTCAGCTTTGATTTGCCTGATAGAACAATGTGTAGGCTCAGCTTCCTAGCTGCTGCTACTCAAATACTTACTACAAGGTGTGTATTTTATTCTAGGGTGTTTGTATGCAGATAAATACTAGGTTTGTGCAAGGCTTCAGTAGCTGATTTGATTCGGAGGAGATTTGGCTCAATTTTTGGGAACCAAATCTCTGAATCTGATTCAAATCAGGAGACCAAGTAAAAGCTCTGAATCGATTTGAAGCATCTGAATAAATGAATGTCACTTGTAACCAGGATAAATCTTAAACCCTTAAATACTTCTCTCTCCATTCATTTATTGAATAGGGTAATATCTCATCCAGGTATGATGGTATTGATTTGCCTCGTATTAAGTTTACAAATAATTGCAGAAGCTTTTTTTTTCTGCAGCTGTTTTGTCAGCAGTGTACCTAATGCAGGAAATTCTGTCCCCTTGTTGCTGGCTTGGTAGTTCAGATCACCATGGTGCAAAAAGAGAACCATTTGTGACCCTGTTCCTCACCAGATATTAGTCACAAATATATTGAGGATCAGTGGTGAGCTTATCTCGACTGTCTACAAATGCAGTAAGCTCAGAGACGTCAGACTCAGTTTGTACGTTTGGCAGTTATCCATGTTTTGCAACACTGTGCATATATTGATAGATGATGGCTACCATGTAATGGCTCCCATGTTTGTTCAATCATGTCCTGCACTTGCTAAAAAGCCCACTAGCATCTGATCTGTGAAGTAACTCAAGTCCAGCATGTAATGCTTGACAAAAGTGAGTGCACTGCTCCATTTACCTGCTAGTTTAGATGCCAGATTCAAGGGAGCAGGATTCCATTCTCCTATTCAGCTGATGTTACTAATGTTTATTACTCCTGTTCTACTAAGGACGTGCTACATGCCACTGCTATATTGGGATTCACAATGGGAATTCACAATTGGGATTCACTTGAAGAAAAAACATTATTTGACTTAAAGTAACTGTGGTGCTTAGAGATGCCATTATCACTGTGGATCCCTTGATCCATCTTTTTACTATTGCTTTAGAAGTCATAAGTAGATACTGGCTTCAAATTGTAAGGGAGCTAACTGAGGCTCAAGACAGCTGGGCCTTTTATACCTTGGTATGGGAGCATGAGGTATACAATGGATGTCTGGCTCCAATGCATGCTACTATTCAGTGGTTCCAAGCTCATGACCATGAAACATGCTTAGCTACAAATAGGATTCACACTAGTTGTAGTATTCTGAACCACAATTACTGCAGGGTAACTTACTGTTTTTTCTAAATTACTCTATTTACAACAGATGTTGTTTGCTGTCTGCTTGTATAAGTTACTTGTAAAGGTTCTTCTGCCTTTCACTTGGGTGTGATGAAGTGCTTATTTATCATAAACAATGTACTGTTATTGTGCTATAGAACACATTTGAAATACTCTAACACATGAAAATGTATTGGAGGGTGCATTCATATTGGTACATATTGTACAATAAAACTTGGTTCATTTAGCTGTTAGTCAAATAAAGCTTGGCATTATGTGAAGCTTTGTTTCCCACATATGTTTAAAGTCAGCTGAATAGCTTTTGTTTTGCAAGTTTTAGTATGTGTTCTGAATAAGCTCTGAGGCTAGAATATGTGAACTTGTAGCTCCATTAAACTTCATGGCAAAACCACCACCAATTTCAGGGGAGCTAGAATTTGACCTGGTAGTTATCTTATGTCCAATTCAGTGTACTATATCTAATAGGAATGTGTGTACATTTGCTGCTTTCTATATATATTGTAACTGATACATCCTGCACATACCAAAAAGCTTCCTGTACCATATTGCAATGCTTGCAACAATGTGTTTCTCTATCCTTGCATATACAACCTCCAAAAACGCTAGCCATACTTTTTTTTTTTTTAATAGGCAAAGGATATTGAAGTACTTAAAAGTACATAAACCTATAAAATTTTATTTGGACACACACATTGTGGAGCTTTCCTTTTAGTACAATTATGACCATTATCCTAGCAGTATTTTTTTAGTATCATGCTACAACCTACTTTCCATATAATCTGTATTTATTTATGTGCGTGTTTGCGTGTGCATACATGTGTATAACTGATATAACTTCTAGCATTCAGACAGGTTTTTTTTATAATTCAAAACACGTTTAAAGTCAGAATTAAAATGTTTTAATCTTTAAATCATGGCTTCCAGTTTATGGCTGTGCTATAGAATTTCTCCTGAAACTTTACTGTAACCAGGTATTCACACATGATCTTTGCATTCCCATTTATGGATGTTATGGTACTTAAAATTTAACGCTTCTTTCTTATAATTATTACATCTTTGCAGGCAATAATAAATAGCACTATCACCCCCAACATGACATTTACTAAAACATCCCAGAAGTTTGGCCAGTGGGCAGACAGCAGGGCGAATACTGTCTATGGCTTGGGATTTTCCTCTGAACATCACCTTTCAAAAGTAAGTAAGCCATAAAACCTGAGTGATAGACAAAAGTGACATAA